AAAAAAAAAAAAAAAAAAAAAAAAAAAAAAAAAAAAAAAAAAAGAAATTCCCTACGGACTTGCCGATTCACTGTTCGGACTCGCCGATTCCGTACAGTGAATCTGCGATTCACTGTACAGAATCGTCCGGTTCTCTCTAGAACCGGACGATTTTCGATTTTTTAGGCGATCCGGTCCCCTTTTCACGATTTCCGAGTCGAACCGGGCGAGTCCGGTTCGACTCGGCGTTTTTTAAAACAGTGGTTTACACGTATATTGAATGGAAACAAGTTAGAGCTTGTTTTGCACTCAAGTGTCAACTCTCTCTCTATTGTGACGGGTAAAATCTAGGCTAATGTAATTCCTCTCCTTCTCTCTCTCTCTCCTTTTCCATGGATTTGAAGTGTGTGTCTCAAATGTTGGGCAGATTGAGTTTGCACTTTGTTACCCAAGACAATGCCTTTTGCCGAGACTCGAATCGAGAAGCCTGGTACGTCAACTTTGGCCTGGTGAAGGAATCAATCAACAATATGTGGAGCTGGCCTCACTTGAGTTGAACTCTCTCCAAAAACTGTATTTGCATGAGATAGAGGAAGTGAATAGGTAATTCTCAGTTCTCTAATTATTTGAGGAACCAGGTAAATAACTTAGTAAGCTTGTTAAGCGTGCCTGGGCAAGATGGGTGACTTCCTGATGGATTACTTAACCTAGAAGTAGGCTTTCAAAACACCTTTCATTTTTAATAAATGCTGAACTAAACCCCACTTCCCCTGTCAAATGAATAAGAAACAAAGAAAATTGTTAGTGGGTGGAACTTGAGAATTTTGATATGGGTTATTGTCAAATCATGAGAAGAAACTTGCATGCAAGAGTTTTTTCAGATCAATTCATTTTCTAGAAAAGATTATTTTGATTTCTTTGTGGAAAAGTCAAGTCTCGAGCAATCAAGAATGTGGCCATGAAACTCTTGCTTACATTCAATTAATGAAAATTCTCCCTATGGAGTTCTTCATTGGATTTTTGTCCAGACTGGTTCTTGGATAGCATTGGTTGCAGGCATGGGAGTGACAAGATAGAAGCCCTGGAAAAACTTGCATGTTTTAGCGGGACTTGCTACATGAGGCAAGCTTCCTTATCAAAAAAAATGGCAAAAGAAGGAAGCCAAGTTGAGGACTAACTGAATTTTCATATTGGTAGAGCCCCATGAATTTGAAGATTTAACATGAGAATCCAGCACTTTCCGATTGAATCATGAATTTCAGTTTTGGGGAATCAGGATTTGGGAATGCTATAAGTTAGAAATCAATTATGACTCCTATTAGGAAGAGGCTGGCTAGGTGATTAGGGTGGAGGGTTGCCACAAGATGTCTTGAGTTTTATTTCTACCAAGGGTAAGACATCTTTTCCTAATGAAATACTAGAAAGGGGAAAAAAAAGAATGATGAGTCCTATTCACAGACGTTGTTAGTCTTGGATTAGTTAATTTAAAGTCCTTCAAAATATTGAAGCTTTTTCGGAGATCCGATTTGGAAGAGTTTGGCAAGGAAAAGAAGCTCTTATGGACATTATCACATAAAGGACCTGTAAATTAGCATTTGAAATTAAAATAAGCTTTGGGTAGATTGTCCAGTATCATAGAGTATGATCTACTTGATTTTTCTGAGCAAAAGGGGAGCTAAACAAATATCTTCCGTGGCTAGACTTTGTGGAATTTCGGGCTATTTCTCTACCTTACAACTTGTTTTTTTTTTTTTGGGGTGCGGGGGGGGGGTTAATATCAAATATTATAAGCAGACATTGTGGCTTGTATTGGTGGTTTATTTACATTTTCAATTTTTTGACATTAGTGATTTCATGCAATAATTTGAAGAGCAATATTGACTTTTGCTAATTGAGAAGCATGATAGAAAACATAGGTAGATTATTTCCTTGTTTAGGATGCTGCCATAGTGATTTACTCTTGTTTTTCATATTCGTTTATTTATTATGTTTTTGTAAGTATATATTGCCCATAAACTATTTTTTGGATCACAAATAATAAAAGTAGTCGTTCTCATTCAGAAATGAAATTGCAGTTCAGAAACAAACTAACGAAAATATTTCACTTTTTCCATTATAGGTGGTGGACAGGTTGGGGACTAGATAAGTATGAGTTCGCCCGGCAGCCGATTGTAAAGTCTCACTTCCCGATTGTCACTTGCTTCTTTGAACCTAAATTCTCAGATTCTCGAGTAGACCTCACCAAGTGTGGATGCCTGGTTAGTTTACAGGATGATTTCTTCGACAATCCCACAACAGAACTCAAGGATCTCGAAAAATACTATGAAGCAGTTAAGAGGTACAGTATTGCAGACATTCATTCGTATTTACCCAAAAAAAAAAAAATGTTTAGAAAAAGTTTATATAAAATTGCAACCTTAAATGAGAAGTACAGATGCACCTCAAAATCCATCCGAAAAGGTTGTTTTAATTTTGAAAGCCCCTCTAATTGATCATCTCGACATAGAGATCTATGAATTGGAAAATAAAGTATTTTGAGCCTTAGAAAGAGTGCATCTTGCAGCACATTATCTAGACCGTTCATTTTCAAGACTTTCATATGTCTATAGATCTACTTGATTTTAACCATTTTTGAAGTTTAAAATTTATAATTGGGCATGAAATAGATTTTCAGATAATCTTAAGAATTTTTAACACCAAAATTACACATTATGATAAAATTTGGAGGTGCGTCTTAATCGGATTGTTTAAAATTGTAGCCTTATAAAAACCGCACCCTATAAGTTTTAGAAGAAGTTAAAGAGGTAAACTACCCCCCGAAATAAAAAACATAAGAAAAGAAGAGACTTGTAAACATGCGATATAACTTTTAAAAGAATTCCTTTATGATTATTAGTTCTATAAATTTCAAAAAGGAGTTTCCAATCCAAAATACAAAGAAAAATTCTTAAACTTTACTATTTTTGTGAGAATATAACAAGAGAAATGATCCTATAGGACTCTCTCCCACCCATGTGTGTAGGACCCCAAAAGATCACCATTAAATTTGGCACGGATATCTTAAAAAGTCGAGTCTTACACCCATGTGATAACTTTTTTAGGGATTCGTGCCAAATTTAATGGAGATCATGTAGGGTCCTACACACATGGGTGGGAGAGGGTCCTATAAGATCATTACTCATATAACAAATTCATTTTTGAATTTGAAGGCATTCAAAAAAATAAAAATTATAGAAGATCAAAACATTCCTTCAGAAGAGGTACAAGAGAATTGAAGACTATTCTTGCTACGTAGTTAATTTATCTAAAGCATTTGGCATTAGCATCTCTCTCAGTTTGAGACAATAGGATTATTGTGAAATGAAGTCATCGTGGGAAAATAAGATGGGATGGGATTGGATATATATTACTATTTACTTTTTTTTTACAAGGAGCTTAGAATTGTTGTTAGCCATCAAATGTGAAATCCGACAATTTAGGATTGTGTCATAAAAGTAAGAAATTTTCGGTTCGACTTTGACTAAGTAGCACACCCCCAACCACTTGATCTCAAATTACTTAATCCTTTTATTAATAATTTTTTATACGTCTTTCATAGACAAACTCATAGCTTGATTATAAAATTAAAGAAATAATAGTAATAGAAGAAGGTATTTCTTTGCTGAAGTTTTTTCCTACATTCCAATACCAATGAAAACTTTTCTTAGGTTTTGGTTTTTTCTTAGCTTTTGGTTTTTCCAAAAGATATCCTACGAATGTATTGTTTATTTGCTCCCTTGGATAAAGCATCACTTATGATTAGTATTAGGACCCTAAATTTTGGAGATATGGCCTCTTTAACACATAAATTAGCGTCAATAAAAAGAATTTCCTAATGGCACCCTGTAAGTACTTAAAAAAATAATGTCTCAAGATTAAATAGAAACCGCACAGTTTTTAAATGGTGAGATCTAAGTGTCACATACTCAAATTTCATTTTTCTTTTTAGAATAATTATCGAGTAATTCTAAGGTGGTTATCAAATTTCAGATTGAAAAAATCCTCCTAAGTAGTCCTCTTACTGAGGAAGTAGAAATAAACTGTGCTCCCGAGGGAGCATAATATTGCTCTTTGGTTTTTAAAGATTAAATAGGCATTGTGCTTTGGATTCAGATGGGATGTATCACTTGTGGAAGGCCTTCCTCATCATATGGCACTCACATTTAGGTGCCTCCACACCACTGTGAACGACATGGCAAGCAGATGTAGCAAGGCTCAAGGCCGTGACCTCTTTCCTCTATTTAAACAAATAGTATGTTTCTAGCCCTCTATAAATTCATGGAAAAAGTTTATATAGAGTCAAGGCTCTGAATAATCAAATTAGAGCCCACATAAAAAATTTCACTAGAAGATGTGGATTTGACGCTCAAATCTCTTTAAATTGATTTTCTTGACATCAAGATACATGAACATGAAAAAATATGGATTTCAAGTTTTTGGAAATAGTACATCTTGTAACGAATTTTTGAATCATCAATTTTCAAGATTTTCAAGATTTCATAGATCTACTTGATCTACATTGTTTTTGAAGCTTTACATTTTATGATTAAAGATGAAAATATATTTTAAGGTTATCACAAAGATTTCCAGTATAGAAACCACATTTCTCGACACTATTTAAAGGTAGGTTCTAATTGAATGTTTAGAGCCTCGGCTCTATACAAACCGCACTCTAAATTCATTAGTTTTAACTTAAACAAATGAAAACTTGTTTGAAGTTCCAAACCAAATTCTAGGTCCTCTGGTGAGTGTTGGATTTGATTTCAAGTACTGAACTCGTACTTACCCTCAAAAATAGTGCCGGACCTTGACATGTTAAACGAAATATGCCATTTGGCAAGTGCCGAAGTACGGATATTTCAGGAAAAAAAACTTGGACAAAAAAGGCACTTCAGTGTAAACTTTGAAAATTTTAAGATTATTTTCCATTTCAAAAATTATATAGGACATTTCTATAACATTTTCTATTATTGTAAATGTTAGTACTTTCTATTATTGTAAATGTTTATACCATTAAAGTAAGGTGTGTATCCAAATCCTAATTAAAGATATGGTTCATGTACTAGAAAGCGCTTATTATGGCGTTAAAATCTATTTTCAACTTTAATTATGAAGTTTAAAGTTGAAAAATAGTGCAAATCAAATAGATCAAGTAGATATAGGGACTCACATTTTGAATTTTCTTTAAATGCTGGCCTAGTGATTTTTACGTGGATATCAAAATTTTATATAAAGAAATTCCTCCTATGTAGGCCGTGTGTTGGATGGACTAAGAATATAGTATGCTACCTACATGCACTCTACTATTTTCTAACATAAATACAGCAAATATCTCAAATGATCATACAACATCGCTAAAGTTCTCACATCATCATATTTACCACGATAAGCTTTATTTTTTAAGTTCTAATACTAAAAAATTTGTTCATAAGTTTGAAAATTACCATAGTTCAAGGTTGTTGGAAAGTTTCAAAATTACCCAAGTTCAGGGTTGAGGATCTTGAACAAGGATATTTTAGTGATTTAACCAACTTAAGTGCCTTTGGTTGTTCAGGGCTTAGAACATGAAACTGCCAAATGATAACAATCTAATTATGCATTACTTACATTGGTTGAGGGAGGTCAAGGATTTTAACCCATGAAGTTTGTGTCAGAAAGCCTCTTTTTTTTTTTTGTTTTTTTTTTTGCAGGGAAAAAAGTCACTATAATATGATAGCCCAATTTTCTCACTAGGTCCAAACAAGCTAGCCTGGCCTTTTTTTAGCTCAGCCAAAGAAGAAATTCACTGAAATATGTTAGCTTATAATAATACTAGGGTCACTAATCTGTGTCTCTTTTGCTTCCTATGCATGTTTCATAGTTCATAGAAGTGATAAGGTCAGTCCTGAAGGAGGCTGAATGGAAGCATTCACGATATATACCAACCTTTGATGAATATATCAAAGTGGGTGTCAACACAGTTTGTGCAGCAGCATGCACTATGAGTTCCACATTCCTGTTGGGGGAGCAGGTATCAGAAGAAGATCTCAAAAGGATTGGCCCCGGCTCTCGACTGCTACATTTAGTAAGCATCATTGCAAGGCTTTCGAATGACATTGTCACATTCGAAAGAGAATTAGGAGAAGGGCAGATGGCATCAGGTGTCGGATGCTACATGAAGGAGCATCCTGGTTGTAGCAAAGAACAGGCCATAGTGCACTTGAGACACCTGATCGCCTCAAGCAATCGTGAGCTTGAGTGGGAGCTATTCAAGTGTCGGGGCATTGTGCCGGATTTATGTAGCCAGGGAGTAGTCGATTTTGCAAGGCAAATGAGTCTTCTTTACAAGAGAGCAGATGGTTATGCTAATGGCTTAGACATGGACTTTGAGTGGTTGATAAAAGATTTTTACCATAACCTTCTTCCTTGATCTATATTTTCAAGTTCTTGTGAATGTCAGAAGTCAAGAAAAAGAACTTTGAATCTGTTCATATCAAAATAATTAAGCATGGATTGGTGATGCAATTTATGCTGATTAAGTGCATTATAATTGTTAATTATGACACTACGTGGCACATGTTTTGTTGCATTCAAATAATGTAAACATTTAATTTAGGGTGTGGTTTGTATAAGGTTGCAATCTTAAACAATCAAGTTAGGGAATCCCTCCAAATTTTATCATAAACATAATTTTGGTGTAAAAAATTCATAGGAGGACTTGAGAATCTATTCTCATCTCTAATTATAAAATCTTGTACTCCAAAAATGGTTCAAATTTAGTAGATCTATATAACAATTGAAAATTTTGAAAATGGGCGGTCAAGATAATGTGTTGCAAGATACACTATTTTTAGGTCTCAAAATCATTTTTTCTTTTCATATTCATATGTCTCGATGTCGAGATGATCAGTGTGAGGGTTTTCCAATATCAAAACAACCTTTTGTGATGGATTTTGTAGGTTCGCCTTAATTATACATTTTAAGGGTTGCAACCTTGTATAATATTTTTCCTTTAATTTATATACTTTCCAAAAGCATGAGTCACTCTTATAGGCACCTATTTTTTTGAAATCCTATTTTAGTCGAGAGCAAAACTACGTACAAGAGAGAGATCTACACACCTATTTTATATGAATTCATTTTATAGGATAACTAAATTAGAGAGAGAGGTCTACACACCTATTCTTTGAAACTCATTGTATAGGATAACTAAATTTGAGAGATTTCTAACTCTAAGGGAAATGAAGTTTGATAAAGTCTATATCGAAAGTAAGTCATAGTGATTCTTTTTATTTAATTTTTTCTATTGTCTTTGTTCGTATTTTTTATGTGTGCATATTGAAGGTAAGTCAAAGCACGTTTTTTTTTTTTTTTCTTTTTTGTATTACCTATGTTTGTATTTTTTTAGGTGTTCTTCCCATTTTGCAAAGATTGAGAAACATATTCATCTTTAAAAGTAAGAGAAACCTTACTTTTCCTAATGTACGTAATTATTATTTTAAAATATCATAAGCATCTGCTTTGAATTAATTTGTACATGCTTTTATTTTTCAGATGTTCTGTTTGTTTTAATTTATGTTTTCATTAGATAGTCAATATTTTTCAATCACGTGCAAAA